CAGGTGCCAATGTGTCTGTTTTACCAGCTGTGAGAAAAGACCGTGCAAACCAATGCAGTGAATATAAATTATACGCAGCTAACGGTAGTGAAATCGTAACTTATGGTACCAAGACACTAGTGTTAAATTTAAACTTACGTCGACCTTATCGTTGGGAATTCGTGGTAGCAGATGTCAAACAACCAATTTTGGGCGCAGATTTTTTAGCGTATCACAGGTTACTAGTTGATTTAAACGCGCGTAAATTAATAGATAGAACCACAGAATTGAATGTTTCGGCATCTGTTGTCAAGGTATCCCAACCTAGTGTTAAAACTATTAATTTGAATCATCCGTATCAAGATTTATTGTTAAAGTACCCGGACATTACTAAACCGGCGTCATTCCGAGAAACTGCGAAACACGATGTCGTCCACCATATCGAGACCTCTGGTCCCCCCGTGCACGCGAAAGCGCGCCCGTTGCCACCCGACAGGTATAAAAAAGTTAAAGAAGAATTTCGCATCATGCAGGAACTGGGCATCTGTCGTCCTTCGAAGAGCGCGTGGGCTAGTCCACTCCATGTAGTTCCTAAGAAAAATGGAGATATAAGACCTTGTGGGGATTATCGCCAGCTGAATGCGATAACAAAGCCCGACAGATACCCGATTCCTCGCTTGAATGACTTTACTTTTATTCTCCCGGATAAAAATATATTTTCGAAATTAGATATTAATAGAAGTTATCATTTTATACCTGTCGCGCTAGGTGACGTGGAGAAAACCGCTATCATAACACCATTTGGGCTTTTCGAGTTTCCCCGAATGACCTTCGGTTTAAGGGGTGCAGCGCAAACCTTCCAGCGCTTTATGGATTCCATTTTACAAGGGCTTGATTTTGTCTTTTGTTATTTAGATGATTTACTTATCGCTAGTGACAACGAAGTTCAACACAGGCAGCATTTAGAAATAATTTTTAAAAAGTTTAATGAATATGGAATTTCAATTAATTTGGCAAAATGTTGTTTCGGACAAACAAAACTAGAATTTTTGGGACACGAAATTAGTACTGAAGGTGTCAGGCCGTTGCAAGATAAGGTTCAGGCAATTGTGGAATTTCCGAAGCCGAAAACTATTTCAGAGCTAAGACGTTTTCTCGGCATGGTTAATTTTTATCGATCTCATCTCCCCAACGCTACTTTATATCTAACAGAATTAAATAAATATCTTGAAAGCTCAAAGAAAAATGATAAAACTCTTATCGTCTGGAATGATAGTGCGAACGAAGCATTTACGCAGTGTAAGGCAGGTCTCACACAGGCCGCTACATTGACGTACCCTAGAGTGGATTCCGCACTCGCTATAATGACTGACGCATCTAATACATGCGTGGGAGCAGTCTTGCAACAAAAGGAAGGAGATATCTGGAAACCATTGGGTTATTTCTCAAAAAAATTGACCACCACCCAACAGCGATATAGCACCTATGATCGCGAGTTGCTCGCTATATACTTAGCTATAAAACATTTTCGGAAATTATTTGAAGGTCAAGAAATAACCGTGTATACGGACCATAAACCTTTAACTTTTGCATTTCAAAAGGTAGGACGCGATGAAAGCGAAACGCCTCGGAGAACGAGACATTTAGCTTTCATAAGCGAGTTCACTACAAATATAAAACATATAACCGGTAAGAATAACATTGTAGCCGACACCTTATCACGCGTCGAAGCCGTGATTATGCCAACTGCGTTGAATTTCGATGACATTGCAAATGAACAGCGTAGCGATAGTTATATTACGAATTTTATGTCTGGTTTAAATACCGATAATATTTTGTTGAAAGAACTAGTTATACCTATGTTAGACAAGCCTATTTTTTGTGAAATGTCTACCAATATAGCTCGTCCGTACCTACCGGAAAAGTTTCGACGCCTAGCTTTTGATAGTTTGCATAATTTGAGCCATCCTGGAATTCGGTCTACACGAAAAATGTTAGCTAAAAAGTATTTCTGGCCGAGTATGAATCGCGATGTTTCTTTATGGGCAAAAACGTGCATACTATGTCAACGTTCTAAAGTTAACAGACATACGGTATCGAATTTGACTAAGTTTTCGGAAGTAGATCGTTTCGAGCATGTGCACATCGATATCGTTGGCCCTCTTGAGATTTCACCAGATGGTTATAGATACTTACTCACGATAATTGATAGGAGAACTAGGTGGGCCGAAGCATTTCCGTTACGCGACATTACGGCAGAAACTGTTGCCAAACATTTATATGAGGGTTGGATTTGTCGTTACGGTTGCCCGATGAAGTTAACTAGCGACCAAGGTCGCCAGTTTGAGAGTAGTCTTTTTAACCAGCTGTTAAAAATGTTGGGGGTTAAAAGAATTCGAACTACTCCTTATCACCCGCAAAGCAATGGCGCAGTCGAACGTTGGCATCGTTCTTTAAAGACAGCACTTTCGACTCGCCTGTCACATGGATCTTGGGTGGAAGAGCTACCCACGGTATTACTGGGGCTTCGCGCGGCCGGCCGCAGCGATTCAGGGGTTAGCGCCGCCGAGTTAACTTTCGGACGAAACTTACGTCTACCAGGAGACTTTTATGGCAATTCTTCGAACAACTGTAATGTCAACGACTATTGTTTAGTAGATAAGATTAGAGATACTATTCGTAGTTATAAGCCTACATCCGACAATTCACGTAACTGTCAAAGTTTTTTTGTGCACAAAGACTTACGTAACTGTGAATATGTCTTTGTTCGGGACGATTCAATACGTAAACCTTTGAAACCACCCTACGACGGTCCATATCGCGTGATAAAAAGGGCTTCAAAAGTTTACCTAATTCAATTACCCGATAGGCAGGTACATATTTCTATTGACAGATTAAAGCCTGCATATGTGTTAAAGGAATGCGATGGTAACATAACAACGCCAAGCGACAGTAACGCTGACAACGCAGCGGATGTGGTGCCTGCGCATGTACGGTTCGCGTTACCGCCGCCCACACCGGTGACATCGTCGTCGCCCGGCCCTAGCAACCCGATAAGCGTGAAAACAACGCGAAGTGGTCGCATTGTTAAATTACCTTCACGATTTAATATAAGTTAGTGTTAACATAAAATGTATTATATACGCAATATAATTACATGTTTAAATAATATTCAAGTTAGCTAGTATGGATGTGAAAGTATTATTTGCATTGTTAGGTGCAGAATATTTTCATTCAGACTATTCAAGTTACATTACAAATACAAATTGAATGTAATTTTAGATGTATTGTGTTTTGTATTTTGCGTTATTTTGCGTGTACTGCAGTTTCATTTATGTTTAGGTAGTTAGTTTAGTTATAATGTATTTCGTTTCATTTGAAATATTTCCTTTGCAGAAGCATTAGTGCTAAAAGTTTTACAATTTTTACTATGGGCAATTATCAAGAAAAACCAGTTATTGTTTCTCAGGCTCAGAATATTGTAGAGAATAAAGTGGATAATTTTCAAATATGGTTATATGTGATAGCCAGTTTTATGGGAGCAATAATATTGTACACTATTTGGATGAAGTTTAATAAGAAGTTCAAAAACTGGCTTCGCCATCAAGTGTTCATGGCCAGCGTTCCAATGTCGGGCCAGAATATGGGTCAGATGATAAGCGCCTCTAGCGCCAGTCTGCAGCACGCGCCCGCGCCTGCCGCGGCAGCCGCTCCCTTCACAGGGATCTCCGTACAGCCCTGCGCTTCAGCGCATTAACAAGTGTTTATTATATAGTTTTAAGTTTTTGTATTCTTTTTGTAAAGGGGGAAGTAATGTAGGTGTGCTGCGCACACACATGCATAATTAGTAATGTTGTATCTAGCTACCATATATATGTATACTTAATAATATTGTACCTCACTACTTAGTACTAAGATTTTCAGTCAGTCAGACAGTAGCTAGTTGCCCGTCAACTGTATTACACGCTCTTCTACAATAAATATGTCATTAAGTTATGCAATCTTTCATTATGGTCACCCGTAGAGACGCATATGGAGACAGCTCTTAAATGCTCCTTAAATTCTTATTTATATATATCATTATTGCCTGACAATTTGTATTTTAAAATTACAATGAACTAAATACGGTAAATGTAATTATTAAAGTCCAGTTAGAAAAAATCGCAAGCTTCAAATTATATAATATGGATGAAGTAACAAAGTAGAAAAAAAATGTTACATACGGCATTCGTGTACACCACACTTTTGGGTGAGGCAAAGTTCTATAGAAAATCTGGCATTCTCCTTTATTAGTTGTAAAATATTTAATAGGTTTTTAACATTCTTAACTGGGTATGCCATAATAATGCATCTATTGAAAACCTTTTAAGTGTTAAAAGTCAATAAATTATAGTCATCAAAACACGAATACTAAATATTGGTCGTGTTTTGTGGCATTCCTTGAGGTTTATGTCCTACAGTGGACATGTGATTCACTTGAAATAATAATATAATTTTATGATAACAATACATAATTATTAAAATTTATTAATTAGTTGTAAAATATCTAAAAGAATTTTCATATTCTTAAATAGGTATTCCATAATATGCATCTATCGAAAACCTTTTAAGTGTTAACAGTCAATAAATTATAGACATTAAAACGCGAATACTAAATATTGAACAAAAAAACTTATTTTACGATTTTTCCATGTAAGAAATATCACTACTTGTGGTCATGGCCATGGCTATTGGAAAGCTCTCATAAACGTCGAGAATTAAAAGTAAAATAATATAATGCCTAAAAATATGTCTTTTATTAATTAGTTTCATTCAAAGTAAATTAATAATTATTAAGCTAAAAAAATATGGATGGCGACTGTCTTATTCCGGAAGTTCCGGATCGACGCAAATATTATCTCTAAGCGCAATAGTAAGTGAAAATTGCTCGGAAAAGAGGCATTCCTTTCTCTAATATGGATATTTAAATAGGCTAATGATAATATTAATTTGCCAGTGAATCATCGTATATTTCACCTTACCTCTTTCCTGATCCCGGGGAAGATCGTTAGAAATGCCAGGTAGAGCGTCAACGCGGCGAGTAGAAGCGCTAGCGCCGGTACATCAGCAGCCACCGCCGTGCGATTGTGATACGCGTACAGGGTCGGTCCGCCTTCCTCGCGGAAAGCATCGAACCACCCCTTCATCGCTCGCCCAACCTGAATTACAAAGTACATATCATCATTAAAAAAACATATTTAAACTGAAGCACGACTTTCAAATTAATAATATTGTTTACTACACTTGAATTTTTCCAAATTTTGAAAATTACATTTCTGCATTTGCTGCGTAGATGGTACAAAAAGTAGGTAAACTGATGATAATGTATATCAAAGCATCAAGCTCTAAGTGCATACGGCAATGCTCTTTTAGTTCTGTTAAGACTGCATATTATCTCACGAAGTCATACGAGTAAGTCAAACAAACTCTCGTTTTCTCAGTCACTTTCTCGTCTAATAGGTAACATATAAATATACATATATGTAGATACAATTTTATATAAAATGAGTATGTTGATTTGGGAGTATTTTTGCGCAGTTGAAATATTATTGTCTTGTAAATGGACTTCTAAGCCTCATAGAAGAGAGAATGCAACCTTTTCTTTTAGTATATTGTATGACTTAGCCAATGATTAGCATTGATTTAATTTCATTAAGAGGATGCTAAGACGGTGATTACGAAATACTGCTGTTATACATGGAACTCTTAAAATTTTGTTCACTCCTGTTTGTTTCTGTTTAGTTTCCCCATCTGGAACTAATAAAAAAAGCTTCTACTTTGAACAGTTTTTAATAAAATTATAGCAAAAATTAAAGTAGCATTTAAAATGCTTAAAGGAAATTTGTATGTATTTCTTATTTAAAAAATATATAAAAATGTTATACTTATTTTATTTTTTCATTGCATGGATTTATTATAAACAAAAAAACAATGTTTATGACTCTGAGTGAATTGTAACGATCTTGTTGAATGTACTTCGACGTGGCGGAATGTTTTGCGGTTGCGAAATGTCCCAGTTGCATTCGCCTTCGGGAAACGGATGTAGAACTCTGCCGCTCTATGGGGCGCTCGCTAACAAATAATTAAATCTTAATAAACCCTTCATTCGATGCGGAGATTGTGCGCAATGCAAAATATAACGCAACCAGTGGAAGATTAAACGTGACGTGCATTTGTTTATTTTGTGAAAGGATTCTGTTCACGATAGCTTGTATTTAAACAGATGATGTAAATTGGGGTTTATGACTACGATAATCGGATTTGGCTGTAACTTAATAGATGGACTTACTAAAAACTCACTAAACAAAGTTGTGATACTTCATTTTGAAATCGAATCGGGCTTCATCAAAAAAAAAATATTCAAGGTTAAGGCACAAAATATATAAAACAATTAATTATATGTTAAGCAGCATTATAAACTTGAATTAAAAGGTGTGTAGAATTCAGTGAAAACCACAACGTGTAAAACCATTGACCTCTCACATTGACGTATAAAAGTTCTTGACATCTTTTGGACGCAACCCAGAACAGTTTCGCTACTTAAAGCACTTTTTCATTAAAAGCCGGAAGAATAATTTTCTTGTAGAATTCTAAACGAGGTTGTTTTTGTTTTACGCTTTAAAAAGTACAAAATGTTTACTTAATATACTCAAACATGTTATGTATAATAATCTATGATCATACTGTAGGTTTGTATGACACCTTGTCCAGGGTAGGTTGATATTGATGTTTTGATTGGTAAAGGAACAAAAACATAACAGTGAAAATATGATTTTCATCATAATATTGTTTTTTGAAAAAAAAAAAACAAGGTCATATCTTTATTTTGACTTAATTTGATTAACGAATTGAAATTGTTGACAAACTCCATGTTTATATGTACATGTAATATATAAAATGTGGAAGGAATGCTATGAAGCTCGGCCCTGAAACACCTGCATCCATCAACTTCTTGCATCTGTTACTAGGTCATCCCTATAGCTAGTACGGGGCCACCCTACATTTGCTTGATCCAAAAAACATCCTGGGGAGAATCAGTAACAACTCTGCGGGCGTCTTTTAAATGAAATATCTTTTCACTTTAGGCGACTAAAGGAAATACCAGAAAAATCTAATACTCTCCAAAGATGGTACCATGGCCATCTAGTTGATAGGACGTAAAATACCTAAGACCAGCGACGGCCTACAACGTCCAAGGTTTACGACGTTTGGTACTACGATCAATCCATCTACCAAGCGTGAAGATTTAAGCAAATATTGCCTACAATCGGAGAGGTCCACGTCCAGCAGTAGACTTTTACGGGCTGGTGCAGATAGGTACACGTATATGCTTATGTTTACTCCAAATGTCAACCTCACCTGCACACATCTGTTCTGATGAATGACTTATTAGGCTGTGACGATCGAATGGTGATGGAAAATCCATCCGAAAACACTGTACCCGAATTTCAGTATCTGGTGATGGGGAGCAGCATTATCCACATGAGAGTATCACCAATCCACCTGCCCAACATTGTGATTTTGGAAAAATCTTAGTAATAAGAAATGCTTATTTGGCGCTGGTTTTTAGAAAGGTCTATGCCTAACAGAGAAATAAAACGAGCACCTTTTTTATTCTAAAAGAGGTTAGAATCAGAGGAGTTAAAACTGAGAAGACTGCTGCTGTTATGATGATTACGCTAGCATATTTACAATTTTAGAAATTCTACATAATTGAGATGAGCAAAAAAGTTAATAAAGAATATTTGTATAAATGTTTTATTCAAGCTAAAAAGAAAGAAAGAATAGAAATATTTGCCATTCTTCATCATTATCATCATCATTACAGCCCTTCACAAGTCCACTGCTGAACATAGGCCTCCCCCAAAGAATGCCACAAAACACGGTCCTGAGCCACCTGCATCCATCGACTTCCTGCATGTCTTACCAGGTCGTCACTCCATCTCGTGGGGGGACGCCCTACACTTCGCCTACCGGTACGAGGCTGCCACTCGAGAACCTTCCTTCCCCATCGGTTGTCGGTTCTTCGAGCTATATGGCCGGCCCACTGCCACTTCAGCTTACTAATCCGTTGGGCTATGTCGGTCACTCTGGTTCTACTGCGGATATCCTCATTCCTAAGTTTATCACGCAGAGAAACTCCGAGCATAGCCCTCTCCATAGCTCGCTGAGCGACCTTGAGCTTCCTCATACGGCCAGCAGTGAAGGACCACGTCTCAGTTCCGTAAGTCATCACTGGCAACACGCACTGGTTGTAGAATTTCGTTTTAAGGTTTTGAGGTATGTCTGACGAAAAAATGTGTCGTAGCTTCCCGAACGCTGCCCAGCCGAGTTGAATCCGTCGATTGACCTCTCGGTCGAAGTTGGACTTACCCAGTCGGACTATTTGTCCCAGGTAAACATACTCGTCAACAACTTCGAGCTTAGTGTTCCCAACAACTACCGGCATAGGTGTGACATGGACATTAAACATGATCTTTGTTTTGTCCATGTTCATCTTAAGACCTATCCGTTGGGAAACACTATTGAGGTCATTGAGCATAGTCCTTAGGTCCTCCAGCGATTCTGCCATAAGGACTATATCGTCGGCAAATCGAAGGTGAGTGATGTACTCGCCATTGATGTTGATACCATATCCTTTCCAGTCCAGAAGCTTGAAAGCGTCTTCCAATGCAGCGGTGAAGAGTTTCGGGGATATGACGTCACCCTGTCTTACACCTCTCTGCAATTGGATAGGTTTCGTACTCTGGTTCTGTACTCGGATAGCCATCGTAGCCCTACTGTACAAGCACTTCAACACTTCGATATACCGACAGTCAACTTGGCACCGCTGAAGGGACTGCAGCACCGCCCAAATTTCGACGGAATCAAAGGCTTTCTCATAGTCCACATACGCCAGACATAGTGGCAAATTGTACTCTTCGGACTTCTGTACAACTTGCCGAAGGGTATGTATGTGGTCTATGGTGCTAAAGCCCTTTCGGAAACCGGCTTGTTCGGGAGGCTGGAAGTCGTCAAGTCTGCGCGCAAGACGATTCGTAATGACTCTCGAAAACAGCACGTAGACGCGGCTCAGAAGGGAAATCGGTCTGTAGTTCTTCAAGAGAGCGTTGTCACCTTTCTTGAAGAACAAGACCACCGCACTTCTGCTCCACGCCTCCGGTGTAATACCACCATGGAGGACGGAATTAAAGAGCTTCTGAAGGACTTCAAGTACCGGTCTTCCACCCGCTTTCAGAAGCTCCGCTGTAATTCCATCCTCGCCTGGGGCCTTACCGTTTTTAAGGTGCTGGAGAGCCATCCTAATCTCGCTCAGACTGACATCCGGGATATCTTCGGAATAGTGTCGGATGAGACTCGCTCTTGGATCGTTACTCACACTTGCGTGTGGCTCCAACGATGATGTGTACAGCTGCCCATAGAACCTCTCAATCTCACTCAAAATCTCAGGTGTCCCGGAAACGATGCTGCCACATTCTGTCTTCAGCTTTGACAGTTGGCTCTTTCTGGCAGACAGATCTCTGGCAAAGACTTTGGAGCCTTGGTTCCGCTCGATCGCTTCTTCAATACGAGCTGTATTGAAGTTGCGTAAGTCCCGCCGCATGCATTTGGAGATCTGTCTGTTCAGATGCCTGTATGCTGTCAAGTCTGTTGAAGAATGTAGCTTCATCCCCCGTCTAACAGCCATGAGATTAAGAGTGTGATCGGAGAGTTTTTGTGTTCTTCTGCGGCGGGTCTTGCAGAACTTAGCTCCAACCGCATGGACAGTTTCCACGAGCTTGTCATTCATATCGTCCACTTCATTGCAGTCTTCCAGGCACTGAAAACGGTTTTGTAACTCGAGGTGAAAGGTTTCGGGACTTTGGAGCAGAGCACGAGGGGGACGGAGCGTTGACTTCATTAGACGAGACCTCTCCAACTTAACGTTTAGGTTCAGTGTGCCTCTAACCATTCGGTGATCGCTACCAGTTTTCACCCTCGCGATCACGGAGACATCACTGAACAGTTGTCGTCTGGTCGTCATAATGAAGTCAATCTCATTTTTTGTGGAACCGTCGGGGCTCGACCAGGTCCACTTCCTGTGGGGCCGCTTCTGGAAGAAAGAGTTCATCATAAAGAGTCCCTCTTTCTCCATGAAGTCGGCCAG